GGCGGGAGCCACTGCCCCCCCCTCCCTAAGCCCGCCCAGCCCCAACTGGGCAGCACTTGCTCCAGCCCTGGTCCCAGCCCCTCCCTCAGGGAGGGGGGTGTTGATGTGCACCCCCACACCTCTTCCACCACATACCAACTGCACACAGTATCGACTGTCATAAAGACAAAACCCACATTAGAACATCAAAACAGGGTGTCAATTTATAAATGTCATAAGTGACGTTCATCGCAATTCGAAAAGTTGTAAGTCAAGGACTGCCTGTATACACCTGAGCTACATCAAACAGAACTTACGATTTTAGCAAATAGTAGTAATTTAATTACAGCAAAAAGTAGTAATACCCATATACTATTAAGGAAATAAGATGAAAGTTAATGCCTTTAATTTAAGGGATATAGATGCGTTACTATACCCATATCTCTTTTCTATCTGTGGTGCTCATCTCCCCTCTCTGTATTTAAAAAGTTGACATTTATGTATAAAATATTCCTTTTACCACCTGCAACATCCAGTGCTCTATTTCTTCCATGTATTTTTGTAATTTGGTTCCAGACTCCTGTGGGTTTGCTGCTCCTCCAATTTTGGAGACATCTGCAAATTTGATTATATCTGAAACTATACCAAAGAAACATCCAGAGGTATAACCACTGTCTCCAGGATGCAATTCACTGTAATGAAGAACTACTTGAGTAATCTAAGTCACATAATCACACTTCTCAAACACAAACAGAAATATGGCTTTTAAAGTCCATATGCCAGACTATAACTTGCTGTTTATTTCAAGAGCCAAATTTCAGTTTGCTTTATTTTAAAAGTGTGATGTTGTAGAGGCGGAGACTCATGCACCATATGGGAAGAAGGAGGGGATTGTGATGCTTAACAGCAATTGTTCTAACAAGGAATATCATGGATGGACTCCAACTCAAATATGGGCTGCCTTGCAATGACTTGAAAAAAAATGGAGAATATCCTCAAGATTCAGGGGCCAAATGTGTGTTTTCAGAAAATGAGGTACAGACCTGGAGAAAAGGTGCAGGTTGTTACCAGTTGAGCTAAACCCACATAAGTGGCTCTGTTACATCAGCAACAGTACTTAAGTGGCTTTAGCAGCTCTAGTGATTCTGCTTGAATGGCTTTAGTGACAGTTTATGTCAGTTTAGTGACACTAGCAACACCATTTAAGAAGGCTTAGTGACACCAGTGAAGCGGCTTTAATGATACTGCTTAAGTGGCTTTTATTATACTGAAGTGACTTCCACAGTAGCCAAAGTCACTTAAATGGTGCAGTAGTTGAAGCATTTGTGTAAGAATGCATGTGCACAGAACTCCTTCTGTACTCCAGAATAAAGCCTAGGAGTTACATTTAAACCTTTCAAGTCTGCAATAAATTTTATAGTTAAATAAAACAGATTAATTCACTTTTAATGATGAGACTTGCCACTGCTACATGAAATCCATACCTAGAAATTTCATTATTAAGGGTTTAAAAAAAAAAAAAAAATGTTTTTAACAATTCCTAAAAATACACATAAAATTAAATTTTCAACCTTAGAACAGGAACAACCCATCTGCATCCCGGTACGTGGGCATTAGGGGTGTGCAAAACAGGCCATATTCGATTCGAATTCAGCCCAAATCAGGGACAGTGATTCGATTTGTTGATTCGGATCACTCTCCCTGATTCTATTAGGCTGAATCCGAATCTGAAGATTTGATGCTGATTCAGAGAATCAGCGATTCAGCCATCGAGACAGCTTTAAATGTTTTTTCTACATACCTTGAGGTATCAGAAGCGGCTCGTGAACACTGCGATGCTGGGGCGGATGGAGCGTCCTGTCGGAGTGTGGGGGGGCTCCCTGCGCACCCCCTGGCAGACCTGAAAGTGGACCGGAAGGGCTTCTAGTCCACTTCTGGGTCTGCGGCCAAGCATGCTGGGGAGTCCCCCGCTCTCCTGTGGGATGCTGCATCTGCCCCATCACCTCAACATTCATGAGCTGTCTGGTACCTTTAGGTATGTAGAAAAAACATTTAAAGCTTTGTCTATATCCAAATTGTTGAATCTCTCCAAATCAATTTGGAGGGTTTGGATTCAATTTGGACAGATTAAAGGGTCCTCCGATTCAATTTGGAGATTCGGCCACTGAATCGGGCCAAATCGAATAAGGGACCGAAGTTTTGCACAGACCCAGTGGGCATTATGAATGCAATTTCCTATTAACAATATAGGAAACTGAGCAGCTGGCAGTGGCAAAAGAACAGATTAGAGACTATTTAGAGAAGTTGGACATGTAAAAGTCCATGGGGCTGGACACAATGCACCCGAGGGTGCTGAGGGAATTGCCTGATGTGATTGTAGAGCTGCTGGCCATTATCTTTGAAAACTTGTGGCAAATCGGGAGAGGTCTCAGATGACAGGAAAGGGACAAATATAGTGCCTATATTTCTTCCCTAAAAAAAGGAAGGAGGAAGATTCAGGAAACTACAGGCCAGTCAGACTCACCTCAATCCCTGGAAAAAAATCATGGTGTAGTTTGTCAAGGAATCCATTTCTAAGCACGTAGAGGAGAAGGTGGTAATTAGGAACAATCAGCATGGATTGACCAAGGGCAAGTGAAACCTGATTGCTTTCTGTGATGAGATGACTGGATCTGTGGATGCAGGAAGGGCAGTGGATGTGATACGCCTTGACTTTAGCAAGGCTTTTGATATGGTCTCCCACAACATTCTCAACAGCGAGCTAAGGAAGTATGGGTTAAATGAATGGACTGGCTGAATCATCAGGTTCAAAGGGTAGTAATCAATAGCTCGATGTCTAGTTGGCA